CGGTCGTTCTCGGTTAGGCAGGGGAATTCCGGATATGTCTCTTATACACATCTAGATGTGTATAAGAGACAGGACGTAGAAAGAAAGAGAAGAGAAAGAGAGAGGAGAAGAGAAACTTCATTAAAACCGAGGAGAACCTTTACTGTCCGTTCCCTTTTTCTTTCCCTTCCTCCACCTCATCCCCCTCTATGTTTAAATTTCAAGATTCGCGCATCTTTGTATTTAGGACTTTTTAAGTTTTTAGTTTTTTCAAAGTTTTCAGGAAAAAGTAGAAACAATATATTCAGTATTATTCACATGCAGTTACTTAATTCTATTTTTCTGTTGCTAGTATTGGCATGTCTATCCTTATCTACAACTAGGAAAGTTTGCAACAACAACAAAAAAAAAAGGTTCACTTCCTACACACGAATAAAGCAACACATTTTCTTGAATTTCCACGATCTTGTGTTTTTTTAGCATGTGCACATGTGTGCGCGCAATGTCATCTTTTTTTCTCTTTTTGTTTTTTTTTGAAGTCCAGGGTGTTGTAGAGATCGGTTTCTGGACCCACGACAGGTCCCTATCTACAGTCAGCAACTAATTTATGGGACCTAGACCATCCTATCTTGGAGGATACCCTTCAGACAGCCCCTACTGCAGGTTCCCCAACTATTTCCTCCACCAGAGTCCGTCTACTAACACCCCTCCTACCGGGATCCCTTAAGACAATCCCCTACTGTAGGTTCCCCACCGATATCCTCCAGCAGAGCTTATCCGAAGCCAACCCTCCCCCCAAACGGGACCCCATCCCACCTCAGGTCCTTGCCCCCCCCAAAGCAGAGCCTAAGGTAACCAACACACATTAGCAGTCTAACCACAAACCCGTACCTGCATCCTCATTAGACTGCTAACTGTATCAGGCAAACCCCTCATAGGCCAGGACCCAACATACAACACCATGGATAGTCCCCTGGGTGGTGCGCTGGCAGTATCTGTAATAGCTTACCATGCGTCAGCCCAAAGGGTGTGTCCAGCCGTGCGTCATTCTAACGCCCTGCCGGTGTCCATGCGTGAGGCTGCGGATTTGAACCCGCAACCTCATAACACAATGCGCATTTCCAACCGGTGCTCTAACCACTGAGCTGCATTCTCTATACACAAGTCCACCACAAAAAAATTGAACATGAATGGGCCAGAATGTTGTTTACATGTATGCCTATGAGAGACTAAATACAAAGATGACAACACGTGTATGCCTATGAGAGACTTGTGTGCAAGCACACACGTGCGCTATATTCCCGACCCAATCGGGATGAGAATGGCTACGAGCTCTAAGGCTTATGCTTCACAGAGGGGCGCAAAAAAAAAAAAAAAGGGGGTAACTTTGGCGCAGTCACGAAAACAGTTTGTAATTGGTCAGGGCCCGAGTTTCAGGGCCCAAGTTTCAATTGCAGTTGAAACTCGGGCTGCCTTTGGGTAGCAGTTCAGTCAGGGCCCTCGTCTATCCACGAGGTCTGGGATGAAAAACTGCAGACAACTCCCCTGGATGACGAAACTTTTAACAAACTGCAGACAGCAAGGGACCATTTGCAGACCTTTCTAGATCATCAGGCTGAGGCGTGGAGAGTGCAAGCAAGAATAAGGCGGCATGACACGGAGGGGACAATGGCCAGAGCCTTTTTCAGAAAAGCCAGGGCCAGAGCAAGAGCAACAATGGTTGCCACATTAAAACACCCCTTTTGCCCAACCCTCCCTGATGCTACTAACGCCTACACCATTGTGGACTATGCGGCCCAATTCTATCACAAACTTTACACGTCAGAATCCTCCCAGTGGGGGAGTGAGCAACTCACGAATGCCCGCACCCTGATGCTCCACCATCTTCCGGGTATGCTGTCAAGTCAACAAAGAATGCACTTGGAGACCCCTCTCTCCACAGATGAACTGCTGGAGGCGCTGCAAGGGATGGAGGATGAGAAAACTCCCGGCCTGGACTCCTTCCCAAAGGAGTTTTGGCTCCAGCATTGGGAAGTCTTCAAGACGAGCCTCTCAGAGTATGTTGAAGCCGTAAGGCAAGAAGGAACCTTCGGTGGTTTAATAAGCCAAGGGTTCACAACTCTGCTATATAAGAAAGGGGATAAGTCGGATGTCCGGAACTACAGGCCGATTACGCTTCTACCCCTCCCCTATAAGATTGTTTCTAAAGCCCTCACAAATAGATTGCTTCCATTCATGGCCCACCTCATCCATTTTGACCAGACAGGATTTATGCCACAAAGGAATATTCGAGATAATGGCCTGCTTATCAATGAAACTATCAAGTATGCGAGACAGCGTAAGAGAGAGGCGACAATCCTGTTCATAGATTTTGAAAATGCATATGACTATGTGGACTGGGACTTCCTAAACTGCTGACTGCAAAAAATGAACTTTGGGGCCTCCTTCAAGGAAT